AGATGATGAGGGTAATGATGATAATGATGGTGATGGTGATGATGATGAGTGTAATGATGATAGTGATGGTGATGATTATGATAGTGATGGTGATGGTGGTGATGATAATGATAGTGATCATGATAAGGGTAATGATGATAATGATGGTGAAGATGATGAGGGTAATGATGATAATGATGGTGATGATGATGAGTGTAATGATGATAGTGATGGTGATGATTATGATAGTGATGGTGATGGTGGTGATGATAATGACAGTGATGTGATGATGATGAGAGTAATGATGATAATGATGGTGATGAGGATGATAGTGATGGTGATGATAATGATCCTGATGATGAAGATGACACGTTGCGGGTGTGGAGATGATGGACCAAGTGTGGTGGAGCGGATCAGGAGGTACAGATGCAGGCTTCAGGTAAAGTAAAATGGTTTTAATGATGGAACGGGAATAAACAGCACAGGACAACGATGACTAAAAACTACAATGATCTGACAAAGACTGGTACAAGGAGGGAGGTATACATACACAGGGAAAATGAGGAACACATGGGCAGGTAAACGAGGGGCAGGTGAAAACAATAAGGACTAATCAAGGGCAGGAGAGAGACACAGTCAGGGAGGCAGGGGCAGACCGTGACAGTACCCCCCCCTTAAGGGGAGGATACCAGACGCCCACAAGCCACATACACAGGAGACTCGGGAACACTTGACTCGGGGGACCAGGAAACACTTGACTCGGGGGACCAGGAAGCACTTGACTTGGGGGACCAGGAAGCACTTGACTTGGGGGACCAGGAACACTTGACTCGGGAACTCGGTCTCTGGAGCTCGACAGCCACGGGACACTGGAACTCGACAGGACACTCGGAAACTGGAACACTTGACACAAACAGAAACTGGAACGGGACCTGGGAACTGCAGCAGCCAGGGTGGGACCCAGTAGGAACTGCAGCAGCAGGCGTGGGACCCAGTAGAGACAGCAGCAGCAGGAGTGGGACCCAGAAGAGGCTGCAGCAGCAAGCGTAGGACCCTGAAGAGGCTGCAGCAGCAGGCGGAACTCAGAAGAGGCTGCAGCATGGAGGACCTGCAGGCGTAGGCCCCGCAGGTGTGGACCAGGAAGTTAGTGTACTGCAGGAGCAACGCGAGGAAACCCAGCTCAGCGGCAGGTACTCGACATACGGTCTGAGCAGGTGTACATCCCGATTCGCTGGGTCCATTGGCGGAGGCTCGGGTGAAGGGAAGCAGACATGGAGCGGGAAGACCAGCCCTACCACCCCGGAGAACGTTGGTGTGCGTAGGGTTTTTTACCTTCATCAAAACTCCAGGATCCTCGGCTTCCATTGGAAAAACAGGACGGGGCGAAACAGCAGGAAAGGAGAAATGATTTTGACCACCCCGAGAACAGGTAGGATGCGCCAAAACCACGCAATGGGCTCGACCACCCCGAAACATGTAGGATGCGCTGAAAATCCCTCAGGCCGGAATCTCCCTCCGCTGAAAAGGACAAAGCCAAAAATAATCCTCCAGGGAGATGTTTTGAGCTCACCACAGGTCCAGGTTGGTCAGATAATTCTGTCACGTTGCGGGTGTGGAGATGATGGACCAAGTGTGGTGGAGCAGATCAGGAGGTACAGATGCAGGCTTCAGGTAAAGTAAAATGGTTTTAATGGTGGAACGGGAACGAACAGCACAGGACAACGATGACTAAAAACTACAATGATCTGACAAAGACTGGTACGAGGAGGGAGGTATAAATACACAGGGAAGATGAGGAACACATGGGCAGGTAAACGAGGGGCAGGTGAAAACAATAAGGACTAATCAAGGGCAGGAGAGAGACACAGTCAGGGAGACAGGGGCAGACTGTGACAGGCGAGGGTAATGATGATAATGATGGTGATGATAATAATAGTGATTATTATAAGGGTAATGATGATAATGATGGTGATGATGATGAGGGCAATGATGATAATGATGGTGATAATGATGAGGGTAATGATGATAGTGATGTTGATGATTATGATAGTGATGGTGATGTGGTGATGATAATGACAGTGATGTGATGATGATGAGAGTAATGATGATAATGATGGTGATGAGGATGATAGTGATTATTATAAGGGTAATGATGATAATGATGGTGATGATGATGAGGGCAATGATGATAATGATGGTGATTATGATGAGGGTAATGATGATAGTGATGGTGATGAGGATGATAGTGATGGTGATGGTGGTTATGATAATGATAGTGATGTGATGATGATGAGAGTAATGATGATAATGATGGTGATGAGGATGATAGTGATTATTATAAGGGTAATGATGATAATGATGGTGATGATGATGAGGGCAATGATGATAATGATGGTGATTATGATGAGGGTAATGACGATAGTGATGTTGATGATCTTGATAGTGATGGTGATGGTGGTGACGATAATGATAGTGATGTGATGATGATGAGAGTAATGATGATAATGATGGTGATGAGGATGATAGTGATGGTGATAATGATGGTGATTATGATGAGGGTAATGATGATAGTGATGTTGATGACAATGATAGTGATGGTGATGATGGTGACGAGGATGATAGTGATGGTGATGATGGTGACGAGGATGATAGTGATGGTGATAATAATGAGGGTGATGATGATCATGATGGTCATAATGATAGTGATGGTGAAGAAGATGAGGGTAATGATGATAATGATGGTGATTATGATGAGGGTAATGATGATTGTGAAGAAGATGAGGGTAATGATGATAATGATGGTGATGATGATGAGGGTAATGATGATAATGATGGTGATTATAATGACGGCAATGATGATAGTGATGACGATGAAGGTAATGATGTTAATGATGTTGACAACGATGATAGTGATGGTGATGGTGGTGACGAGTAGAGCCCTGCACTGAAGCCCTAGGCCCTCGGGTCGGGTCGGCCCGAGGGCCGTCGGGCCGGGCTTCGGGCCAATGACTGTGCAATTACCTCGGACACGGGCCGGGCCGGGCGCCTTTATTTTTAATCAAATTCATTTAAAAAAAATTGAAACACAAACGCAGCAGTAGAGCCCTGCGTGGGACTGTTTTCTTCATCCCGCTCCTGCCCGCTCCCGCTGAATTTCTGACCATTACCGCCTGCAACTGCAACGTGTGTGTTACACTCCCGCCCGCACCTGCAGCGTGCATGTCTACTCCCGCCAACAACCGCAAAACTCGGAGAAATTATTACCTCACAATAAAAGAGATGTATTGAGTTTGCGTCCTCTTTGGTCCTGGAGAAAACATGTCACAACCCGCGGCTCTTCCATCCATCTGATGCGGCTCTCTGTGCTTGTAAAATAATGAATGGATATTTAAATAAAATGCTTTATATTTTACTGAATTAATTTTATTTCTGTAAGTCAATTCTATGTAAAGATTGTCTGCGTAAACCTGAACAGGTCCAACGCGTCACGCTTGTGCTTAATATAAGCTGTCTGAGCTGAAGAGATTCTGGGATTCTCCTCCTGGATGTGTCGCCACATTTGAGACAGGAAGAAGCACTATTCAGCCAAAGTTTCATAATCAGGGAACATTTTCTAAGTGACAAGTCTCTCTGAGCGACAGGGTTTGGAGAACACTCGCTTCAGTGGGAGGAATCTTCCCGCATGTGCTCTGGTTCTGCGATGCGCTCCAAACCTCTCCCCACAACTTCAGCTCGCTGTGCACATGTGCGCTGACAGCGAGCTGCGCTGAGCAGCTCAGATGGGAATCTTTTCTTGGGTGATTTAGCTACATTTGCGATGTGTGTAACGAATAAAATGTCAGTTCGTCTGCATGCGTCGGGGTAATTCTTTCTATTCTGGAACTATCCGGTCAACTCAAGCACTGCTTTTGACTGTTCTGTTTTCTTGTGAAAATTGTTGGAAAGAGATCAAATTTAACTTTATTACCACCAGAGCCAGTGCGCCGTCATCTCCGTGATGGTAAACGAGGGAAAAACAAATTGATCGTATCCTGCACGTATTTTAACACATTGGTCAGGATTGACGCACTTTGTTTTCATTTCTCTGGCTCGGGCCGGGCCAGAGAATCCTGAAAACCTTTTCGGGCCGGGTCGGGCTGGGGCTCCACCCCCTCGGGCCGGGCTGGACATGGGCTCAGATTTTAGGCCTGTGCAGGGCTCTAGTGACGAGGATGATAGTGACGGTGATAATAATGAGGGTGATGATGATCATGATGGTCATAATGATAGTGATGGTGAAGAAGATGAGGGTAATGATGATAATGATAGTGATGATGATGATCATGAGAATGATGATGGTGGTGATGATGATGAGGGTAATGATGATCATGATGGTGATGAGGATGATCATGAGGATGATGCTGGTGATGATAATGAGGGCAATGATAATGATGATAATGATAGTGATGATAATGATAGTGATGGTGGTGAGAAGGGTATTGATGATCATGATGGTGATGAGGATGATCATGAGGATGGTGGTGATGATAATGATGATAGTGATTATAATGATAGTGATGGTGGTGAGAAGGGTATTGATGATCATGATGGTGATGAGGATGATCATGAGGATGATGATGATGATATTGAGGGTAATGATGATAATTATATTGATAAGAATGTTAGTGATGGTGAGAAAGGTAATGATGATCATGATGGTGATACACTAATGTTTGCATTTGACTGATATTATTTTTCTGTACATTTACGGACAATAACCTGATAATGAACACAAGCATGTTTCAGTAATTTAGAGAAACTATGAAACCACTCTCAGGTCATTTGAGTTTACCTTTCCCTTTCCTCTCCTCTAAACCGCGCCGTAATGACTCTGCAGCACACCAAACTGCTGAGTCATGGTGCGCTTGAAGAGGGGCCGACCCCGGAGCTGGATCGGAGAGGGGCGGGCTTTAGTAAACCGGAGCCCTGCCTTTCCCAGCCTCCTCCTGTCGGAGAACTCTTTTGGCTGCTTCCAAATGACTTCTCCTTTTCGTGCCTCGGCAGAGCGGAAGGAGCGAGTCAGGACGGCTCATACCGTTAGGAGGAGACTGGTCAACAGCTCCCAGAAGCGAGGAGGCATCTCCGGTACCTGTCGGTGTGGTAGGTGACCACGCGCGCGAGCTTGTTGCAGCGTGAAGACAGATAAAAAAGAAGAGAAGAAGCAGAAGAAGAAGGGCTGTCTGTTGGGAGGCATTTCTGCTGGAGACGGGATAAACAGATCACCGGTGCTTCTGAAGCTCGACGGAAAGATGGACTGGCTGTGCGGTCCGGAACTCCAGTTCTGGGTGAGTACCTGGACCAGCAGCCCGGGCACCGGTTACTGCTAAAGTTACCTTTGCTAGTATGTGTTTCCTGCCCTCTGGAGCAGCTATAAATACCCCAGCTAACGCGATGTTAACCAGCTTAATGACTTGTTGATTTGCCTACTTTCGGTTTAGCAGGAAGGAGGCTGGTGGTGTGGACTCTCATCCACCTTCACGTCATGGTGGTGGACGAGAGTTTACACGCCTTCTGAAACTTCCCCGTGAGTAGCTAGCTGGTCCAGCGATAGCACCCAGTTACCTCCACCCATCACCGCTCTGGTGGGAGCGGCGTCAGCGCAGGTTTATAGATACAGGTGGGTCCAGGTGTTCTGGGGCACAAACAGAGCAGGAGGTCCTCACTTCTAATCTAACTGGTGTTAATCAAACTCATTGTTAAAGTCACACCCGACCAGTTCAGCTCAATGTGACTAAACAAAGAGCCTGCTATTTAGAGTTCTGTTTATACCGGTATTATGAAATTACATTCCATCAAAGCCTTCATAGTTATCTAAGCTAGAGGTCGACCATAGTGGTTTTTCTTCTACACCGATACCGATGTAGGTGGTCAGCCAATGGCCGATATGTACTGCCGATTTTCATGGCCGATATCGATATTTGATCTAGACATTTCCCACCTTATTTTCATGCTGAAATGTCACTATTAACGTCCGTTGATGCACAAATTTACTGAAGCTGAATCAGTTTTTGAACTCAGAATTTAACTGTTAAATCTCAACGTTGTGCACTGTTCAGTGTTAAAGTCAGATATGCAAATAAAGGTAATTTAGAGTATTTATTATGCAGATATTATTCGTCAACGTAAACATACATTTAAATTAAATTCTGCAACAGCACCGGGCTGCCCACGGATGTGCCTGACTTTAAGTCTGCTTTACTAAGGACAAATATTGGCTGATGCCGACCAATAAAATCTGGTAAATATTGGCCCGATACATTGGCCGACTGATGCATCGTTTTACCCCTAATCTAAACTACGTTTGTACATATCTATAATGTTTTTGTTAATCATGTATGGAAGGACTTTTTAACTTCTCAAAAAGCGCATGTTTTTAATGAGACGCCACAGTTTTACTTTGAATATCTAAGATGAAACTTGTGATAGCTGAAGTGTTCGTTTTGATGAGAAAGAACTTTATCAACAAAAAATGAACATTTATATGATAGATTGGCTTACCATACTTGTGGCTAGTGGGTACATTGTATTTACGTCAGTTATTTTTATGCGCTTTAATAATGCTAACACGAGCGGTTTCCTTCTCAGCATCTTGTTCTGGTTTGTGTTTCTGTGACTTAAGTAAAAAAAAACACAATTTTTTAGTTTTGCCCTAACAGTTCCACTTTTCCCTTTTTTAGAGTTGTGTGCGTTGATCCACTGATGCTTTTATTTTAACACTCGTGTCGGGTTTATTAATTTCCTACCATCCAGACACCAGATGTGTTTAACTGACAGGCTGCCATAAACACGACCACAACTCTGGTCAGGTTTGATTTAGCCCTTTTAAGTCTATATTTGTTGTGGATGTCATACATCAGAGTAGAAACGGGGTTCATGGGATCTTAGTGGCTGAATAACCACTGTAAATAGCTTTGTTTCTTACTAAACCTGGTTTAATATTAACATTTAGTGTGAAAGATGCGGATTAAAATCTTCAGTTTAAGCTGAAATCCATTAAACTGTTCTAACAAGAACAACACGTCTTAATGTAATAAATAGTTCTTGTTCAAAGTAAACCTCTAGTTTTACTTTATTTTTATAAAACGTTGAAGCATTACTGAAAATTGTATTTTGTTGACAGTATTTATTTATTCATTTATTAATAAATCGTTATTATTTTTTACATTTTCTAGCTGAACATGTTGAGTATTACCTCAGAAAACAGTTATTTAGTGTAATGTTAGTTTGTCAATGCATCCTTGAACATGTGTTACCACGACGAAGCTGGAGTTAATAATTGGCATCCATACAAAAGGAAAGGAAATTATGTTGATAAAGTTTGAGGCAGTCATTAATAATGACTGCGTCAAACTCTATCATGACTAATTAATAACAACATGTTTTTGTGTCAGACGGGACTCGAGAGGAGCCTCCCAAAGGTTAATGATCCTGCAGGTTTATATGCTCAGCACCTGGCTCTGCTATGTTTGCCATTCACGTGAAACGTCCACACAGACACCAATCATCATTTAGGCTTATCGTTTGCTTCATGCTTAATGTTGTGTTTCCATGGCGATCCATATGATTCTGAGAAGAGTGCTGTGTTCAGACATGAGGTAACCGAAGCTGCTGCCTCATTGGCCCGTATTCTGGCACACGCGACGTGCACAGAAACGCCTTTTACCTGGATCAAAACCTGCGGAGGGGCTGGCTTTTGTGATGCCTTTATGTAAAGTTTATTAATAGTGAGTGAAGGGTCACAGCGTGGGACCACGGTGTATAAACCACCTGTTTGTGAGACAGCCACTGTGTTTGTCTGTTCGCCGTGGCTTTTCCGCAGCGTATCTGTGTGTTTATGGAGCAGAAAGAGGAAACCTGAGAGAGCGACATTCTGGTTATGGTACGGGCCTTAATTGCAAACAATTGAAGGGATGTCTGTAGTCTTGATGCTGCAGCTGGAGTGATGCCTTTAAGACAAAAGTGTTATTGCACTAAAACACATTATGAAAGTTCACTTGAATTGGGTGACCTGTGGGTCAGGCCCCCCCCCCCCCCCCCCCCCCGAAAAAAACCTTAAAGGGACTTTAAGGAGTTTAGAATTTTTATGCTCGTGATTGTCCCCTCAGGCAAAAGCGTAACGGCAGCTTCAATAGTAGGCTCGTGCACGAGGCGCGCATGCTGCACGTGCACACTCCTTAACGAAAATAACAGCTGAGACAGTCCTGTGTGTGTGTGTGTGTGAGAGTGCGTGGGTGGCCCGGAGGACAGGATAACATACAGCTAATTAATTAAATAATTTGGTTCTGTACCTTTCTCTTCAGCACAGCCGACAAAGGTTTATGATGGGTCAGTCCTCCTGCATGCTCAGACCATTCCCTTCCCTTGCTTGAAAAATTGTTCCAAAATGAAAGTTGAACCCACATCTTTTTTATCTGTGAATTCAATGCCGTTCGGCGAGTCTCAAATAAAAATTTGGGTATCTTACTGTAAAAAAATATACCATTAATGTAAAAAAGAAACTCTAAATAACAAAATTATTCACACCCAGAATCGAACCCAGGTCTTCTGCATGGAAGTCCGACGTCATACTAGGTGAGCTAAAGCACCAGTGACATCTTAAGTATCTGTAACATTTATATCCTTGATCACAGCTGAAACAACGTTCAAAGAACGGTTCGGAGTGAAAATGGCTATTTTGTTGCTAATTTGCAGGAAATATCTAGAAGAAAGTTCCACAGAAAGTAGCTAAGGGTCCTCAGAAATGTAGCTAGCTTTGTCACTAGGCGTTAGGAACAGCAACAAAGACTAAAGCTACTGATAGCAAACGCTACGGGCTATGCCTGAGCGTGAACGTGCATGAAGCAGCCTGCTCGACCCGAGCATCTCTCTCTTTCTGTGATTTTACAGAACAACAGGCAATCACAGTAAAAATGCCAGGGCTCATTCTACAGGACCAGGGCATTGCAGGAGAATGTATGAAGAAGACATTTATTATTTCTATACATGTTTTGGCTGTCAGACTTCATGATGCCCCTTTAAAATCTCTCTCTACTCATCTGTTTTCACTTAAATGTTTCAGATCATCAAACACGTGTCAGTGTCAGGGTAAGTTGAGTAGATGGAAAATGAGGTTTTTAAATGAAAATTTCATTTATAAGGGAACAGCGATCCGGACCATCTGGGCTCCATGTGAAAAACTCCTAATCCTAATAACTGGTTGTAACACCTTTTGTCTCATCAGTCCTCAGAACGTTTTCCCTTAACTCTGGGATTATTCAGGTGTGTTGATGTAAATGTGAGACGGCTCTTTGTGTTGTCTTTAGTCAACAGAGGGTTCGGTTTAGAACTTTGGCTTTGCAGCAGCAGGACTGGAGCCTGTTACTAAAATAGTAGTAACGCAAAAGTGATAGGTATGATGATGCATCAGATTGCATTCACATGTATGTTGTAGATTGTAGAGGTTGTAAAATGGCTGTAATCTGCTTTAATCCTGGTCCTGACCAGCTGGTAACTCAACTTCTGGCTCCAAACAGTAGCTGCATGGACTGCTGTCTGCTGCAGTTAAGATCCTGAGATAACAACCTTCAAAAAGTCCAAACGGGCCCTTCAAGGCAGCTTGCAGCTCTGTCCCTCTCGCTCAGTAGGGACATCTTCAGAGTTTTTGTGCAGCACAGAAACAAGCTTTAGTTTTTTTTTAAAATGACTTCAGGTGTTAACATTTAAAAAGCCTTGTGTAATGAAGTAGATAGCCTTTGTGTGGTTACATGCTTTCGTCCCAGGAGCTTGCTGACAGTTTACAAACTATAGCCCCAAAAAGCTGATGAGAATCAGAAGCCATGAAATAAATATTCACCATTATTCTCCAGTGCTCTGAACCAGTGGATCCCACTAGGGCTGCCTCAAACGACCATTTTAATAGTCGACTAATCGAGTTATTCATAAATGTATAGCTATTACATGTTGACATCATCATGAATCGACTAATATGTTTGTTTATTTATTTGGCAGACGCTTTTATCCAAAGCAACGTACAATAGTTAACCTGTAGGGCACGTTGTGATCTGTGGGGGAAACCGGAGTACCCGGAGGAACTCCACGCATGCATGGGGAGAACACGCAACTCCACGCAGAAAGGCCGCAACCGAGTTTCGAACCTGCAACCTTTGTGCTGCGTGGCAACAGTGCTAACCACTGCGCCACCATGCAGCCCTAAACCATCAGCTGTAGTGGATTAATAAAAGCTTATTAATATAATAGTTATAACTTTGTTTGTCTGTAAAGTTTGTAGTAAATCACTTTTAATGTG